CTCTGCAATCTGCACACTGCCCACGTCCCCGCAGTGGGTCAGTGGCACAGCAGACACCGCGCAGTCGTCAGTCGGAGCGAGCAAGTTCACTACAGGCTGGCAGCCAGGGCTCCTTTTGTGTGAAATATTGTAGCAGTTAGATAAGTGACGTCATTGTCAGGTGATCCGTCAGATTTCTAGACACAACATCGGAGCAGAAAACGCCAGCGGTGAATAAGTAACCACCGACTGTACAATAAATCTCCACGTGTGCGCACAATGTCGTGGGTTCAACCTTTTTTTCCCACATCATCTGTGACTTGTGTCATCCAAATCTCATCTTTCCCCTGCAACAAAGATATGGACATTTTCTTTTGATGCATGCAAGCAAAGCCATCTAAGCTTTAAATCAGTAAAGAATATGAGTGGAATAAACAGTAAGTGTACATTTAAAATATGGACTTCAATATGTTTCTGTTCTGAACACATAGTTTTGCTTAGATCAACTGCGTTCAGTGTTTACACTATAACTGACAATTTCAGCACTTCAACTGCGACTCCCATACAACATTTCACATGCAAACAATCAACATTTTATGACATTTTAAACTCTTTGCAATCTACACTAGCAATTTTCAGCATGAGCAAGCACATTTTATTTTTCGAGTTTCAATATATTTTTTCGGTGTTTCAAACTTTACTCAGTAGATAAGGGAGATTTTCTGAGTCTGGGCAGAGTTAAACTCGATGAACAAGGGACATTTTTCTTGGTCCCTCTGATGTCTTTGGGCTTTGTTTGGGCGTAGTCTGACCTGTCTGAGTTTAACAATGCACAACGCCGGCAGCGCTAACCCAAACAAAAGTTCACGGTCAGGGGGAACAAAAACAGGAAACCGGTAACTGATGAATTTTATCAGGGAAGAGGAAGACAAAAGAGCCTCTACAGTTCTAAAGGTCGTTCTATGACTCTACCAATCCTGCAGTAGAAACAGAAATGGGGAAATGCATGCTTGTACTACTAATGTATAAACATAGGCCCCAACAGTGATGATTGCATTACCAGGGGGCTGGGACTTTAAATGTATAACTTGACTGCAGGGTTGAGAATCGTGGTTTATTTTGTCTGCAGTGTTAAAATAAAGGGTCAAAATAAAGTGTTCATGAATATAAAAGGTAACAAAAAAAAAAAAGAAAGATGTGCACTTTTGAACAAAAGTATTGACACAGCATGAGTGTGCGTGAGAGTATTCCAAGCACAACACTTTGAGGATGCACGGCTGACATTCACTGACTAATGTATGTTCCTATGATTCACACTATCCAGGGTAACGGCCAGGGTGATGTTATGGCAGATGACAAGCGATGTCCTTTTGACTCAGTGTTACCAAGTCGGGGCTGAACAGAGCAGTGGCACCTGCCCATCTCAGCTTTTGGAGGAAGGGAGTCACTCCAGCTGCAGCGGCTGACTTGGCAGATGCACAGGATATCAAGGAAGTTATTGCTCATATCAGAAAACTGTGATATTCAGTGGCAGCTGACTGACACTGACTTTCTGCCAATGTTCTCCTGAAGAGAAAATGTTTCCAACTTCCTGCTTAAAGCTGATATGAATGGTCTTTAGATCTACTGTACGGACTTCAATATAAAGGCAAGTAGACACTCGCTCGACTAGTTTGGTGGTCAGCTAGAGGGTGAGGTTTTTAACTATTTTATTTTTAAGGTCAATAAATGGTAAAGCCATGAGGTCAGAAGATTTTAAGCTGTATTCCACTGGACTGTCTTGATTAAAAAACATTTTCACGTCATAAGGTCATTTCAGCTCAAATGCAACCCTCGTCCCATAAGACGCAGATTCATCACTCGTTCGTTCAATCATTTGCAGTGTCCTGGTTTTGCTGGTTTAGCACTGCAGTCCCAATTAAGCGATCTCTTTTCAATCCATCACGTCAGCAGGCCATTGATTTTTTTTCTTCTCCTACAGAGTATAGATGGAGTTCATCAGGATTTCTCCACCAACCTGTTTCTGAGTGCAAAAGTCTCATGACCGTGGCAAATAGACAGCTGTCAAGTTGTCAAATCAATTCCATTTTGACATATCTTTATCTTCCTGTGTGGTGAAAGCTCCAATATTAAATATAAATATTAAAAATACAAATCAAATTCCTACAACCACATCTGCAGAGACTAGACAGCCCCAAAGGAGAGAGACACTCTGTAATAAGAGTCATTAAATGTGTTGATATACTGATACTTTCTCGCTTTATATGGTGTAATCATAGCTTAGAAACTGAAGTGAAAGACACTGCAATGAGGTTACAGTAAATGTGTGCTGATAGTAAATTCAAAGATCCCAGACTCCATTTTTCCCAGATGGGGGATCACATGGCATCAGCCAGAGGATCCTAATCCCACACTCCCAATCTGGTGTCAGATTCCAGTGGAAACAGTGCACCGCTGGAGAATACAGGAGAAACTAGGACAGATATGGCTGCGGAGGTGAAGGGTCAGTAGACTGGAATAGAATTGATGAGGTGGGAGCCTTCATACAATAAGTAGAGATCTGTTATGATATCAGATATGGATATCTGAGGGTGTTAAAATATCTGCTTTTTATCCTTTCTTTATATTTCTTTATGAAGGCCTACATACACTGAGTAACGGCTTTGAAATAATGTATATAAATCAACCAGACCTGTAGTCATCATTTAAATTGGATTCTAGGGTTTTATGGGATATTGTATTTGGTTCTTTGCTGCATGCCAGTGGAGTCTCACAAATAGGTCCAAATAACGAGACACTTTTACCAAATGTTGTATTGAATTTCAATACGATCCTGACACAAACTAACGATGAATAAAAACAGATTTAGAAGGTTTTGCGGGGTGTGTATTTGATTCCCTCCAGATAAATTTATGACACATGTGGGTCAAAATGACATGCTGATACGTGCTGATTATCCCCTCAACTGTGCTTACTCTGAGTCCTGTGGGTGCTCTGGGCAGGCACCCAGAATGGCCCACACAGTGAGCCAACCAGGTCAGATGTTAGCCGCCCCTGCTGGTCTCTGCCTTCACAGTGAAGTGAGGGAAGAGGAAGAAGAAATGGTGCTTTTTTTTTCTTTAACAGTATTTAAGCCTGCTTTTTTTTTTTTTCTTAAAAATAATTTAGGATATAGAAAACTAAAAATAAAAAATTTGTGTAAAAGTGTAGAGTCAATATTATTGAATTTTGAGGGATGTTAGAGAAGAAGGTAACGCAAAACATTTTAAAAATGTTATAGTATCAAAATATAATTCCTCATGCAACAAATACAGAGATAGGCCTATTTGAATGAAGGATACCTGGTGGATGATGGTTGAAGAGTGATGGATGTCTGGATGAAACAGATGGATGGGTATGGATTCTCCGCGGAGCAAACCAACAGTGCATGTCACCAACTTTTCAATCCTTGTGGTCGCACTTACGTGAAGACGAAGAACAAGGAGGTAGAGCCGACCAGGAGGCAGGCGGCCGTGCACACCGGGATGAAGGCGCTGGGCTTCAGCGAGTCGGCGCCGCCGGCGGGCATCCTGAGTCCTCTCCTCCACACTCACCAGCGTCTCATACTAACGAACACACCGGAGGAGTGTTGTCGCTGTTGTTTGTGTGTGTATCTCGGACAAACCCCCCCCCCATAAATCACAGGTCGCCGGAAAACGAAAATCATAGTAAAACCGTGAAAAGAATTGAAGCTCCAAATGAAAAAAAAAATGAAAAAAAAAGAAAAGAAAGAAAACCGTGCAGCTCTGAGCACAGTCCCGCAGCCCGTCCTGTCTGTCCCGGCAGGCAGCAGAGCACAGATGCCGCCTCTGGTTTATCCCAAAGGTGGAGCTTTTACACATGAATGACGTGAAGCAGCAGACTACTACACTGACTGAGACCCCATGCTGTGGTCTGATCAGCACTCACTTCATTTTTTATTTCTTTCTCTTTGACATTTGTTGTTCATGTTAGTCAGAAGTTATCAATAACATGCGAAGTGATCATCAATAAATGATGTTGCAATCCAAAGTTTCCACTAATGCAGGTTCAATACAATCAAATTAACTCTAACCACAATCAATTTTTACGGCTGAGTTATGACATCAATAAGAACAGCGTTTGGGGTTGCCAGGTTGTGGAAAATCCTCCTGCAGCATCACACTCACTCATTTGTCTTTTTATGGAACTTTTAGTTCATCAGGGAAACAAATGGATTGTTAGCCCACTTACAATCTGGAAGAAGATTACAGAGCATCTGGGCCAAAATCCATTTATTAACAACTTCTTATTAACATTTACAACTGCAGACTGGGAGGCTTCGAGAGAGAAAGTGAGAAACCAATGAGTGTTACCCCAGACTAGAAAGAAGAACCAAAAGTTCTGCTGCCATTAAGACAACAGCCTCTTACACTTAAGAGAATACAACCAGAGTGATAAAAAAAAAAATCACAAAATAAAAGAAATCCAAAATTAGTGTTGCTGCTGAAGTGTACAGTCAAGTGCTGTTGCATGGAGAATAAATGAGGCTCTCAATTTGTGCAGCTGTACGCAGCACAACCTAACAGGGGAATTGGACAGAAATTAAGATCTTATTTGCATGCAAGAACTTTTTTTTTTTTTTTTGCAAAGAAGCATCAGCTAAACTGCTCTACAACACAGGAATAACTATGGTGAAATAAAATAGTATGTGGCTTTCCCCTTTAAGTGATCCCACAGTATAGAAGAGAGCAGTGAGTCTGTATGTTTTTGTCATTTATCAGAGAACTGAGTGCTGGCTGGGAGGTGTCATGAGAAAGAAAAAAAAACAACTCCATGTCATTGGGACTACAAGATTAAGGCTCCTTGAGGGAAAACAAAATGATAAGACATTAAATGTGATTGGGTTGGGCTTCTAACCCTCCTTTATAAGTGTCAAAAGACCAAAGCATCCCACATCATAAGCTGGGGGAACTGTGAGACCAGTGAGGCTGTGTCATAAAGTGAAGTTGTCACCTGAAACAATGGACGCAGAAGAGCTGATTGAGTCCATCATCAGAGCTTTCATGTTTATAGCAGGGATCCTGGGAAACAACTGGCTAGCTATACGCTCCCTGCCCGAGCGGAGATCTGGCATCCGCACCAACGAGGTCCTTTTCATCAACCTGGCTGTCTCCAACCTCATCACCAACTACCTGGTGGACCTGCCCGACACCATGGCGGATTTTGCCGGCCGATGGTTCCTGGGGGAAACCTACTGTGGCGTGTTCCGCTTCTGCGCCGACCTCTCTGAAACCAGCAGCATCTACACGACCTTCTTCATCAGCGCTTTCTGGCACCAGAAGTTGGTCGGCTCCCTGAAACGTGGGGGGGCGCCGGTGCGGCTGGACAGTCTGTGTCTGGTGGGGTGTCTGCTGGCCGGGAGCTGGACGGTGGCTCTGGTCTTCAGCATCCCCCATTTTTTCTTTGTCACGGTCGAGGGAGGGAATGAGAGCCATGACGACTGTATAGATGTCTTCCCTAATGCAATAGCCAGGCAAACCTATGAAATCTTTTATTTAACCCTGGCTAATGCTCTCCCTGTGGCTGGGATTGTGTTCGCCAGTGTCCAAATTGTCATCACTCTGCTTCAAAACCAGCGACGCATACAGGGTCATAGCTCTGACCACAGCAAGAAAATTGTTGAAGCTGAAAACAAGAGCACTGAAAACAGAAATGATGAGGGATCTGTCAGCACTGATACCGGACCAGACGCCTCAAAAGATGTCAAAGACTCAGCGTCCCGAAACGACATTTATACTGGCATTCCTCCTTCTTCCTGTCCAAATGGAGGACTGCCTGGTCACAGTTCCCACAGCTCTCCCATCAACAGGGAAACAAACACTGACAGCAGATTTGGAGCTCAACCAAATCTTTCTAGGCCCAGCCAGATGCCGGCTAAGCCCAGTGCGAACTCAAGCACTCAGGTGAGGGCAGCCAAGAGTGTGGTGGCTGTGGCCAGCGTGTTCCTGGTCTGCTGGCTGACTCATCTGCTTCTGCGAATCACCAACAACATCCACACCTCCTCGATAGTGGTGGAGGTGGCCAGCTATATTGCAGCCTCCTACACCTGCATCATCCCCTACATATTCCTGCATGGAGTGAAAAAGCTTTCTTGCTCATGTAAAAGGTAGAAATGTCTGTAACACATCCACTTTATACTCACTGTAGTGCTTCTCTAATCTAATATTCAAGTGGTCTCTAAACGTCTATTGTTTGTCTCTCATATCTACTTAGAAAACCATAAAAAACCTGGAGGAAAACTAAATGAAATATCAGACATTATTGTCCTCATTAAGATGTTTATTCTATTTGCCGTTTTCCTGACATGAATCACAGCACACATGATTCATTAATGAAATATTTTGTTTTGCTTGTCCCATTTTTTATTGCTTCGTCATTTGTTCAGTATTTTACTTCTCAACTATAAAACACCTTGTAACTTTTATTTTGAAATGAGCACAGTAAAATTAAAAAACTCATTTATTCTGCTACTATTCTGCCCACACTCTATTTTATCACAAATTTGAATGCATTTCTTGTTAAGACACTGAGGTGAAAAGGAGCATTATGTCTGGAGGAATATTTCAGAGGTGTAAATTAAAGTATGAAGGCACAACATGCAGCTTGATTTGATGTAAGTGTCGGGACTGTTCACACTGATTCTATCATTAGTTGATGTTCACTTTTATTTGCACTTCAGTAAATTTGCTCCTGGCACAATTGAGAGAAGAATCAACCCAGCATCAAGTCAAAATTGTTTTATTTTTTATGAGGCTAAAAATTAAACAAGTATATACTAGAGTGCACAGCTAATTGGAGAAAAAGACCTGTAGCAATTACTGCCCGGTTGGTGATGACTGTAAGAAACCCCGAGTGCTGTTTTCAAATTAAAGATAATTACAAAAACACAAACAGGGACGACATTAGGCCCATTATTGGACTCCCTCTGCAGTGTCACATCATCACTCAGCAATCAAATCCTCCTTTCTGCTGTAATTTAAAATAAAAAAAAATCAACACAAAATTTGTACCTAAGAACAGGAGATTGTTGGTTCACAGGAAACACGTAATTGCTGTGTAGTGTTTTCAAAACATCCTCAAATACAAAAAGCAATGACAAGTTTTATTTATTTATAAAAATGTTTTATCAGTTTTTTTTTTCCTCAACGCAGGCCAAAGTTGTCAGTGCGGCACCGTGAACTGCACTGTGTTAAAAAAATTGTTCTACATTCAAAACAACCACAAAAGCACTCATACACAACAGCACTGTTAAATTTATCAGCCAAGTAGACAAAATGCTCACTCTAAATAATACACATGTGAAAATAATGTTTAAGTGTGTGAATGACCTTTGGCAGAAGGGACGACATTATGGCCAAGTTATGTACATAATTACAACATCCAACTCTGAACTGTTTGTTTGGAGGAAAATGCATAACAAAATGATTCCCCCGTGTTGAAAAGGCTTTAGTCATGTATATTTTTACCTGTCCTAAAGTGTATTCATATGAAAATATCCCCAATCAATTGTCAGCAAGTGCAATATATGAAAACTAACCTGTAAAATTCAGATTTCATGTTTTTTTTTAGTTTTTTTTAATAATATATAAACATAGGTAACTCAAATATCCAATTTTCAGATATCTGACATAGCTATTTGCACACAATGCAAATAACCAACAGGCTCTTGCTTTCCAAAGTTGTATTTCAGCATAATGTTTAGACTTATAACAAAATGCATTAAATAAGTTATAAAATGTGTCTCTTCAGTCTCTCTCGTCTTTACCAGAAAACTATCACCTGCTCCCACTGTCCCTTAACAACAAGCACTTGCCAAGTGGTAACACATCAGACTGAAGAGAAAGAGGCCAACTCTGCTGTGGAATACAAACATCATCGTGTTGTGCGTGCTGATAATGTAATCACACTTCTTAAATCAGCTGTTAAATTAAGGCCAGCAGTGTGAGATCCAGGTCACCTGTTCCTTCTCCTGATGATCAATGTTATTAGTAACGTCAGTGGAGTTTCTCCAACTTCGCCTGCAGCGACTTGAAGTTGCCAATGGTCTGTTGCAGGGCCGAGTTCGGGCTCAGAGACTGCAGCTCCACGAGGTATCCGCAGATGTTGTCGAGACACACGTTAGTGAATCGGCGTCTGAAAGAGGCAGAGAACAAACTGTTGAACTAACTTTACTGTTTGTTTATTGCAGTAAACATTTGAGAGTTTTAATCACACACTTGGAACTTTGTTCTGAGCTCACTAATTTCAGTGTATTCATTTTCCCGAAAAAACCTCGATTGGTTTGCTGTAGCTGTCCCTTCTGTCCACGCTGGTCTTAAAATGATTCCAGTGTAAAAATCCCGTCCTCAGCCTTTTACACAAATGCATTCCAAAGCAAAGCTGAAGCTACAGTCTTATTTTGTTAAATCAAGTGGGGATGCTCCAAAGTTAGTGGTTTTATTGCAAAACTCTGTCTTGGTGAGATTCCTCATTGAGCTGAGGTGGAGGGACAGTAACAAAAGAGGGTAATTTGTACTGAAAAGGCCACAAGTTTGGGATGTATTCACTTGCTTTGGCTGACTCAGACTGTAGGCGCTTCAGCTAAACTTGGAATGCATTTTCATGCATTTTGTCTCCCCATCACTTAAATTAAAATCCCTTCATGAAGGAAGTTCATCACAGCAATTATAGCAACCGATATTCAGTGTGCATATGGCCGTGTGAGTATTGTTTGGAGACAGACTTGAAAAGTGTGAGCCTATTCTTTGAACAATGGCCCAGCGTGATGAGCAGGTGTGATCTGAAGCAATCTCACCTCAGAGAGAAATGATCATGACACAAACAAAACATCAAGCTTGGCCAAACATCACAAACATCAGTGTGCATTTTGAGTTTAAGGTAGACCTAAAGTGGTGCTGTGTCTTTGTCTGCCTGCATGTAGTTGGTGGTGACAGTGATACACAAGTGACTGACAGACATGATCTGTTGCCTGGAAACAGCAAAAATATACTGCTGCAAAAAAAAACAAAAAAAAAAAAAACACACATCCTAGTGTGATCAAGACCAGAGTTGTACTTCAGTTGTAATAAATTTGCTGCTCTCACTGCAGATTCTAATCTCTGGGTTTAAGTCTTATTTTTTTCTAATTATGTGTTCTACACAGAGCTGCAGGTAGTCACCAATGACACATTCTGAAAAAGATAATGTTTATCATCAGGCCAGTCATTCAAAAAGCCCGAGTTCCTCAGAGATCCTCACACTAACAATGTTTTAAGCATTTTATCTCCCATGCACACACTGGAAGGTTTTATCCAACATCACAATTTATAATTACAATTTACAATGACAGGATTTTATCTAGAGCAGCTTACAGTAAAGTGAGCAAGTAGGGGAGGGACACTTTGGCAGGATACAGCATTAGTTGTCAAAGGAATTTTAATCAGGGGCCTCAGGCTCATGCTAATGTCTTTGTTAAAACAAGGCCAACGCTGCAGCGCCCACTAAAGGCCAGCAGCTGAACACCTACTCAGACGATGATTACCTGTCATAGGTTGGTACTCTGCTCGGATCATCCACGAATCCTGAGAGAAGCACATGGATACACTCCACCAGGTGCAGAGGTTTCCTCAGTCGCTGCCAGCAGGGATCCTACAGGTGAAAAGGCAACGAGGCAGGACATTTAAGTAAAAAACAAGGCGGTCCTCATGACAAGAACTGAATAGAAGTGATGCACTGAAACATATTTTACGTGAAGCATGTACCCGTGTTTTGAAGAGTTGGTCATAGACCTCCAGAAGACGTGGCAACTGTACTCCAATCTCCTGCATGGTGGAGGTGACGAATCCCACATCCCAGTTGAGTCGGCACACCTCCTGCTCCAGAAACTTAACCAGGAACTCTACAATCACACACACATCAACACTTGTTAGTTCTTCATAGCTGTATGTTCATTACTGAGGAAAATGGCTCTGACACACTGTAACTGAATCTGGGCATGCATGCAAGTACCAAAGGATGTATATAAAATGAACTAGTCCCCGCAGAGAAGACAAGTTTGAACGGGCCAGTTGTAATGGGAGGATAATTAAGCAATCACCTAGAGCACCTGCATGACCCTGCAGACCTGCACCCCAGAGAAATGCTGACATAAATGACGCCAAAGGGAAGTCTAATTATATTACTGTTAACAAAATGGTGAACAGCAAGCTGGAAAATTCTAACTGGACATAATTGCAGCAATGCTTGAATGCTTACCCAGAGGAAAATATCTTGGTGTTCCAGCATAAATCCTTCCCAGTGATACCAGTTTTAAACTAAGAGACCTCATCCTGTCTGCTGGACTCATGGCCACGGTGTCTCCCAGTTCTGAAAGACAAGATTCAGAAAACTCGTAACTGATACTAATAGCACATTATAGCACAGGAAGGGCTCAGGTTAAATTTTTGCATGGTGTTGACATTACACTTGCCTTTCTCCATGATCTCCTGCCACAGTGAGTGCACCAGGATTGGGTCAGAGTGTCCTGCGCAGTGAATGATGGCCAGCTTGCACTCAGATAATTTGAAATGGTCAGCAAACTCCCCGTAAAGCTATAAAGGAGAAAAAAAATTACAAAAAGTTTCCATTCATTGTAGGAAAAAATAAGTAAATATCAAACAAAACTTCATCCATCATCCCTAAACAGCTATTTTAAATCTGTAACCCCAGATCATCATTTTTCTGATACTACATGTTACCTTTGTGATGTCCATGAGCTCTGAGTCCAACTGTGAGATGACATTTTTCACTGAGGGATGATGGGAGTACTGTCTGATCAGGGTCTCCTGGATCTGCACTTGGATACGCACCAGCTAGGAAGAGGACCAGGAAAAAAGGACCCAGAGTGATGACAATGTCAATTTTCATATCATGGTCATTTCCCTCAGTGCGATCACCACCACACACATACCTCCATCTTTTCTTCCAGCTCGTGAAGGAACTCTCCATCAGAGGCCTGAGCTGAGATGCAGGAGGAACTCTTAGCGGACAGGATGGCTCGAGCGATATACTCCAAACGCTGCTTCAGAGAGATCTCAGTGCTGCATGACAAGAGAATGAACAACAAGGGTTTTTTTTCCATCATGTCACTTAA